TTAGCTACATCGCTAATGTTAGGGTCATTTCACTTTCCCTGCCTGGACGCAGATGAAGCAATCTAAATGTACATTATTGGCTAGACTTTAACATAAACTAAGAACGTGTTTTCTTGCGGTGGCCTTTCTAAAGAGAGCAGTGGTGAAAGTTAATATATTTAGATATGATTAAGGTTTTAATAAGCAGACAGTGTTAGCTAGCTAGTGCGTTAGCATAGTCATAAGTTGTACTAAATCATATTACGTGGGGACGTCTCCACAACTATTAATCAAGGACAATAAGTCAAATTCATGCGTGACAAATGAGAGTTTTTACAGCTCTTATGACGATTTATCTTTCACCACGTAAATAATTAAATAATCCAAATAATCCGAACGCAACCTCCTCTACTGAGCATTGAGCAGTGATTAGCCTAAATATCAAGATCCTAATTAACTGGAGACAAAACTTTTTTCCACTACACATACATCATAAACTCATGTTAAGAAATATAAACGATATATTGCTTTTTTACTTGGCGCTCACACCGACACAACTACTGTCCCTTTCTGCCACCAGTTCGGCTCCGCCCACAAAATACGTCATCACATTTACAAACGCAAAATGGGTCTATTGCTGCCTGCTGATGTGGAATGTTATTTCCTGTCACGCAGATGTATAACATCTGTATAACATATCATGTGCAACTTTTTGACCGACACACAGGCGACATAAGACAACTCAACAGTCAGCTTTTGTTGCCACGAGTTCTCTGATGTCGGTGTCGTTTGTCTGGGCCTTTAAAGGGACAGTCCAGCGTTTTGTAAAATCCTTTCAGTTCAGCTTAGCACAAAGAAAAAAACATTAACCAGTGGATTTAACTGTGAATGAGGCGTGAGGAACAGATGCACAATGACAATGATGATGGTGATGAAGATGATGATGAAAGAATGTGGATAGCTGAAGGATCATGATCCCTTAATTGTATATTTTAAGACCTCTTTAAATGTTTTACATGAAGGTGAAATGAGCATGGAATGAGTAACTTTAAGGCGTTAAAGTTTGACAGACTCAGAGAAATCTTATTAAAGATGAAGGAATGTAGCCCCCAAACTAAAAAGGCACAAGAGCTCAGATGAAAGATTATTAAGGCACTTACAGTATAATTAAAGGAAGTTGGTCCCCTGTGTGATGCTGACAACATGTTAAAGGCTCAATTCAGCCAAACAACCAAATGAATAAATGTTTTAGGTCACAAGCTACTGATTATTTGTTCTTATTCTTATCAGGACGGACTGATCTGATCTCAGACTGGGACTGTGGGCAAAAGAACGTGATGGGTACATTCACAGGACTGGGACTCATAGTGCTGGTACTGGCAGAGCACTGTTAGCAGCACCACTCGTAGTACTTGTCGTACTTGGTAGTATTAGTGGCAGTGAAAATAGTTTGAGGCCTGACTTTGATCAAAACAGCTTAGAAAAACAAAACAGGAAAAGATGACGCAACATCGCTGATCGTTCACAGGTCCAGACTGGTGTTCCCAGCATGCATCACACTGGCAAACAGACACACAAGCGTCCTTGCCGCGCTCTGCGTCCCGTCTGAGTTTATCACATGCGGGCGATGTGCTCAATCCGTCATCAGTGTTACAGACATACAGTGTTACAGACGCATAGTGTTCCACACAGACAGTGTTACTCAGCTATACAGTGTTACAGACAGACAGTGTTGCTCTCAGGCTGTGGTCGTGAAGGCTGAAGGTGAAAGTGGGCGGTGCTCTGCTGTCGCCATGACTACAGGGGGTGCTGCCTGCCAGGCAGGGGCGATCGCCGTGGCGACACGGCAGCGAGCAGCTCGCTGTAGATCTCCTGTCGGACCTCCTGTGCCACGCTCTCCCGAATCTGGAGAACAGAGACAGAACTGGTGAACATTCAAACAGCCACTGTCTTTACTCATGTCCTCTGTTTTAAAGGAGCACTTCACCGTCCGTGTTTAACAACAACAAAACTACATCAAACCATACATTTACTTTCACACAACTTGTGCAGTGTAATCCAAGTCTCATTTATCCAGAGTCGTATGCTAAGTACTTCCCAAACAGACGCCCTTTCTCCTAGGTAACTGAACAGAAAATGAAACGTATCTATGCTCCCTTCAAAGCCAGACTCCATTGACAAAAACAGTAATTTTACCTCGCATAACACAGGAGCTGCTGGTTGTAATTGTTTTTAATGAGAATGAAGCTTTTTGCTCGCTGTTTTTGCATTGCTATGTGCCTTGCTTTTTTGCGCTTTAGATGCCTAACGTTTGTGCCAGAGCACTCTGAACTCCTCGAGTTGAAAAAACTTCAACTCAAAGCGGAAAAGTCCCCCACGTCATTTCAGTTTCTCGTCGTCTTTTTTCCCATTTTCCAATTGGATGATTTGAGAGGCGAGCCTTCTGTGGTGGTCACGACAACAAGTTTACAGTTGATAAACAATGGAGGAGAAACTGGTGGTAGCGGTTGCTGGATACCCAGAGCTATATGACCAGAAAACAGACAGCAGGCTGTCAAACTGCCCCGAGTCATCCTAAAATATGCCTGGAAACGGCCATCATGGAGGCGAAGCTCCTGGACCAACTGGTGGTAATCCCCATGATCCACCCTCTTTTATAGGGTCTCATGTACCCACACAGATCTCTGTTTCCCTATGCCCAACAAACTATTTACTGACAGCCTCTCACCCTCAACCAGAGCTACAGCAAGTGCCCTCTGCCTCAACATTTTAGGAGCTGGATACTAATTAATGTGAAAAAATGGTAGCTTGAATACATGGGAAGGTTAGGGTAAGGATGTGATGGGATGGCTGTCTGTCTGTGTGATCGGGGCCTTAACAAGAAGCCAAATTTACCTAAAAAGGTCTTTAAAAAACAAAAGAAACTACTAACAGTAATAAGAGCGCATTCTGCTGCTAGGTAACTTTTTCTTTGTCCAATCACTGTTGCTTGTTGACCAACAATGTAAAATGAATTGTTCATTTTTGTAAACAAATCTTACGGCAAAAATTATTTGTTATGACCTTTTATCACGACAAAAATAAGACTAATAAAAACAAAAACTATGACAATGCACATTATTAATGTACGAGTCGTCTCCTCAACCAGTCAAAGTGCTGACAGACTGTTACCTCTTTGATGAGCTGCTGCAGATTCTCCACTCTGACTCCTCCTGCTGCTCCCTCCTCCTTGGATGCTTCTCCTCCTCCTCCTCTTCCTCCACTCCCTCCTCCTCTTTCTCCTGCATCCCTATTTTCCTCCTCCGCTTCCTCCTCCTCCTCCTCCTTCTGTTCCTCAATGCGTGCGTTCGGTCGAGGAGGTGGGGCAGGGGTTATGTTAACTGATGCCTTGTACACGCCTCCTCTCTGCTCGCCGTCCCCTCCATGGACTGGACTGGAGGATCGGGAAGAGGGATCGGTGGGGGTGGCGTGGCCATCGTAGCTGAGCTCCGATCGGAGGTAATGCTGCTCTCTGAGGAGGTCTGACACCTGTATAGAGAGGAGGTCGTACATTAAGGCAAACATTAGCATTAACAGCTTCATATAACAAATGTGTGTGTGTGTGTGTGTGTGTACTGACCGGCTCCATGGCTCTCAGTGCAGATTCTGTGGACAGACTGTCAACACTGCTGTCTCTATGGAGACCCTGAGGAAGAGAGTAGGGTCACATCCTGTCAAGTTTATCTGTTTAGTCGAAAATCACATGAACTGTCTCAAAACTGACGCCTGTCAGTTCCTGTGTGTGTATGCGTTAGGGATGTAACGATTACCGATATTACGGTAAATCTCAGTTAATTTTTACACGATAGGAATTACCATTTATGTTTAAATTAATTGCATTATCGCGGTGGGTTATCAGGATATGTAATAACAGCCTCATTCAAGTCTCACGATGCAGGCGCTGCATGAATGCGTAGCATGTGTAAACACAAAGAATGAAAACATGGTGGAAAGTGGTGATAGCGGCACTCAGGATATTTTCCCCTCAACTAAACGCACAAAGTCTGAGGTCTGGGCGTACTTTGAGTTTCTGAAGAATGCCGAGGGACAGCTGGTGGAGGACAACTATCCTGTGTGCAGATTATGCATATGTGCCTTTTGCCTTGTGTACACACTGTCACGAGTGAATTGTGTGTGTATAACCTGTGTTGTTTGACTGTTAGTCTCGAACAAGTGTCAACCTCCGGGGCTAAAAAAGTAAGCCATGAGCCAAAAACTGCAGTTCCTCAAATGGCCACTTGAGGCTCTAAATGCGAATTAATACCCACAGACCCCCACATAAAAATTCCCAACTTTACAGTAGAAATTAACATGTTTACAGCTTGGTACATAAAAGATTTTGGTGTGTTGTATATGTTAAGTGTATATGTATACCCTACAGTGTGTTGTGTGTATATACCCTATGTTGTGTGTGATGCGTCAGCTCCATCAGTCTGTCTTCCAGCTGTTGTTCCAGCTCCTGAAGTTCCTCCCTCACTGCTGACCTCAGAGACTGAAGCTGCTCCACCTCCATCCTGCAGACGCAAACACACACGGGTTTGTTTTGCGTCACAGTAACATCACAGTCCTGAGTACTGTGAAGCATGAGTCTGTTTGTTTATGAGTCACCTGTCGGCTGGGCTCAGGTGTTTGTAGACCTGAGCCTGCTGTCTGATGATCGACAGCTCCAAGTCCATCATCTGACTGCGGAACAAGTTGAGACTCTGCCTCTTCTGCTGAAACTCTGCCAAAGGCTGAAAACAGAGAGGGAGAGTAATGAAGTGAAACTCAACAACATTCCTCTCTCTGTTGCTTCCTGAATGGAAACAGTCTCATATATCATACTCCAAACTAACAGTATGTAAATTTTAGGTTATGCAAACAGTGTATTATATAACTGAATACACAGTGGTGGAAAATATGTAAGTATGGAGCACAATGTTCTCCACATGTTGTCTCCTTAGTAAAGCCCAGTTCGAGATCAGACCTGCCTTCAAAGAGAAGTTTGGATTCTGTGTTTGTATCGTGGACTGCCAGTAAAATTTATACATGGTAAGATTTAAACACACTTTAACTGCAGGAAGTGTTTACGCTAGATTTAACCCACAACCTTCACTACTTCATAAAAAGTGTACACAGCAAGAATTCAAGCATCAGATGGATATTGCAGGAGTGACGAGGGATGACGGTACCTGGTGGCTTGACAGAGGTGCTCTGTGGTCACTGAACGCATCTGGAGTGTCAGCTCGCGTCTAGACGGAGAGGACAGTGATGTCAGGACAAGAAGGGGAACACAACAAGCTGACAAAAGTGAGAGTTAATCTAGTTAAAACTTTACTACAGGAAGTGAGGTCATTAGCCCTGGTGTTGCAGATGGGTTTCAGGGGTCAATAGCTGATTAATCACCCAATTTTCTAGCCATTACTGCCAGTTTACAACTATGAAACTAGAGGCCCATATCTAAAGCATCTGACCCCACCCACATCCACACCCACACACAACCACCAGAGAATTGCTTTCCCAAACACATTTAACTGTTTTTAAAACTCAAAGTCTTTTAAATTTGAAATCTTTTAATTTTTTCCTGCTCATTCTTTTGATTTATTTATCTTAAATTTAAATTGTGTTGTTTAACTTTAAATTGAAATTGTCTTTTGTATTGTGTTGTTTAACCTTGAACCTGCCTCTGTGGATCAAATGTGCTTTATAAATCAAATTGCTTTTCTTGCCAAACTGTCTGTTGTTAACATCCACCACAGCTTAAATTAAATGTTTGACATTTAAGTCATTAATGGCCTTGACTCTATTTGCCAAGAGCAAGACAAAAAGCTTGATACCCCTCTCATGTCTGTATGCTAAATATGAAGCCGCCTAAAGCCAGCTAACTAAGGTAAGGTGAGGTGAGGTGAGGTGAGGTAAGGTAAGGTAAGGTAAGGTGAGGTAAGGTAAGTTAAGGTAAGGTAAACTTAAATGTCCCTGAGGAGCAATTCAGGACACAGACAGTGGCCAAGAGTAACAGACAATACAATACAAACACACAAAATCCAGTATCCACACTCTGTCGGGGGTAAATCATGGACATTAGTGGTCACTGCTGTTTAAGATAAGCGATAGCAGTCGGGACAGAGGACGATCTGTAACACTTAGTGCTGTATTTAGGGAGGCAAAACCTCCACCCTGAAGAAAGCATTTGAAACTCAACATGGAGGGGATGTTGAGAGCCTGAGACAATAGACCGAAATTTAGAGGTGACCCTCTCTTTATACAGATGCTGAAGGTTAATTAAAGTAACACCAGTGATCTTAGAGCACAACTTGACCACTTTTTCCAACTTGTTCTTGTTTTTAAGGCTCAGATTACCAAACCAACAGATGATGTTAAAGGAAAGAACGGACTCGATAAAAGAAGAATAGAACAATTTCATGATTAGCTTAGCATAAATACTGAAAACAGGGGGGGTATTGCTAGCCCAGTTCTGTCTAGAGGTAACAATACTCGTCTACCAACACCTCAAAGCTCACCAATTAGCATGCTGTGTCTACTTTGTTTGATTCGTAGAAAACTCCAAGTGTAAAAACAATGAGTGGTCTGTGCTGAACTGTTTTCAGTCTAGACGTGTTCCTGGCAACCAGCGGAGACTACAAGAAGTCATTGGTCCCAGTCAGAGATTATTAAAAACATTGTGGATGTGCTTATCTGGCAAAATCATTGTCTAACCATTGATTAACCAGTTGGACCTATTTTCATGGCAAGATGGCTAGAGTTACAAAATAAAACAAAGTAGTAATACACCACCTTTTCATTTAAAGTGAGTGGGACTACTACTACAACCGACAGTTTCAGTTTTAGACACTGGGATTAAAGAGGATTTACCTGGCCCAGACTCTGAACTGTTCCTCTGATGTCGTGTAGAACTCTCCTCAGCTGCATCTCAGCGCTGGATGGGCCCTGGCTGGATCCTGGACCTTGAGCAGCGTGAGGAGCGAGGCCCGGGTGGAGGCTGTGACCTGAGCCGAAGGATGAAGCCAGGCCTGGGTGGAAGCCTGCAGCAGGAGGAGCAAGCCCCGGGTGGAGGCTGTGCTCTGGAGGTGGTGGATACTGGGTGACGTGTGGAGGGTAGGCCATGTGTGGGTTCATGTTGTACCCATGGTAACCAAGGTAGGGTGAGACAAACTGCGAGCCATATGGAGTTGCATGGTAAGGTGGCTGATGACCGTATAGATGACTGTACGCTTGGTGGGGCATCGGTGTTCCTGGATGTAGGCTGCCCAGACTGACGTGGTGGGGAGTTGCAGGAGCTGAGGCATGATGCAGGTTAGAGAAGCTGCTGTGGTGGGGGTTTGCAGGAGTTGCAGGCTGGTAGAGACTGGTTAGACTGGAATGGTGGGACAAGTTGTGGTGGTGAGCGAGGTTAGGGAGGCTGGCGTATGGATGGAGAGGGGAGGGGTAGGGTGTAGGAAGGTTCGGAGTGAAGGGGTAGGGGCTGGGACTAGGATTGGGGCTTGGGTACTGAGCTGTAGGATTAGGATTAGGGTAACGGAACATCGTCTTCCCTAGATTCCAACTCTGCTGGTTCTGGTTGGCGCTCATGTTCTGCTGGGACTGGCCTGGTTGCCGCTGATTGAAGGAGAGATCGGGAACGCTCTGGGTACTCCAGGAGTGGGCTTGGCTTCCTGGTGACCAATTAGGAGGAGGGCTGGCACTCTGCAGGGAAACTGTTGACCGCATCAGGTGGCGTGGGATGGGTTTAGGTGGGACGGGAGCTTCTTTGGGAAGCCTTGTCGGATGGTTGATAGAGTCAGACGACGAAGCAGGGTTTATGATCAGAGTAGACAGAATGTTAGTTTGTCCTTCCTGCTCTTCTTCCTCTCTCTTGTCCCCCTCAGCCTCCTGGGTGTATTTGAAGGAGTACCTGGGCTGCGTGCAGGACGCCTGGCCGCGCCCAAACTGGATCCTGACGGAGGACACAACCCTGGAGGGTGAGAGGAACGAGAGTGGGAGGGAGGAGGACCTCTGTAGAGGGACACCACGTCTTCCTCGTCCTCTCCCTGGGGTTGGGGGGGAGTTGGCGGACTGGGGGTCACCCCGCTGCCCATTCCAGGTCAGCTGGTTCTGCTTGGCTCGGATCAGAGCGTTCAGAACCGGAGAGGATGGAGGAGGAGGATAACAGAGTGAACCAGAATCATCCAAGAATTCACGCTCTTCTTGAACCTCAGCAGCCACTTCTGCTGTGGGTGGCTCTGTGTCTGCTGTGGTCTGTTGTGGTTCTTCTTTTGCAGCAGACAGACTCTCCTGTTCTGGTTCTGGTTCTGGCTCTGGTTCTGGTTCTGGTTTGGGATCAGTTCGGTCTCCAATCTCAACTTGCTGTTCCTCCTCCTTCTCCTCGCTCTCATCCTGCCGCACTCCAGTTGGTTGGTTCCTGGGCAGGTGGTGAGCGGTGTACTGTGGAAACTGCTCTGAATTCCCATCATGCTCATCTTCTTCCCTGGAACTACTCCTCCCATCCACCTCAGTAGCACCACCAGGCCCCGCCTCTTTCTCTAGGCCATCTGGCAGCTCGAACACTGGTTGGTCCATCGCAAGTGGCGTGGCCGAATCGAGTGAAGGGTGTGACGTCACAGTGGTCTCACTGTCACAGCTGTCACTGCTATCCTGCACCTGATCACAATTATCAACAATTAATTCACCAGTTGTTGTTGAGGCACTCAGATCCTTGTGTTAAGTACACTACAATGTAAAAATACTCCATTACAAGTGAAAGTTCTGCATTCAAACTTCTTCTTAACTCAGAGCCGAGAAGTATCATCTTTAAAATGTATCAAAGGTACTCATCTTGTAAATAACTACATGACATTTTTGTCTGTTCCAACAGTCACTATGTCAGATAACATGGTTGCGGAGTCATAAAATCGTGCCGACAGACATGACAGACTACAAAATGGTCCACACCAATCATCCCAGGTTGTCTTTTACCACGTGCGTGATGTCATCGGGTTATTCTTGTCCTATTTTTACAATTATTACTATTATTTCAGTCACTGTTTGTCTGTTTGTCGAGCTGCAAGCGACACGTAGGTTTACATTACAAAAGGTTTATGACAAAATCACTTGACGCACAGCGAGAGAGGAGAGGGAGAGACACTGTGCTGCTGCCAGAGGAGCCGCTGAATGAGTTCCCTCTGAGCGGTAAGTCACTAAAAGAGTCTGAGAAGTCCAGGGTTGTTCATAAAACATTCAGGACGCCACAGTTTATTCCACACTACTGAAGCTGCTCCTCTTTTTGAAACCACCGCAGAGTCGCTAATAATTCCACTTTCAGCCATGCTTGTTGCTGCAGTGGGTAGAAGTATGGCATCAGTATGTCAACAAGTTGAAATATCTCGAGTATCATGATATGAATTTTCATGCCATGTTAAAAACTATATAGGTATTTCCGTGAACAAGATGATATGGCACACCTCTACTGTGTGGACCTTTAACTAATGACTAAATAGAAATCTGAACCCTGTGGCTGGGCCAGTTGGGAACCACTGGTCTAGTGGTTTCCCTCTAAAAAGTGAAGTAGAATGAGGTAGTATAAAGTTGCCTAGAACTGAAATGCTGCAGTAATGTACAAGAAACTCAAGATTTTATGGAAATTAAGTGCTTCAATAAATACACCTACTTCCATTCTATCACTGTTTATTGGTGATCGTTTACTAAAATAAGATGAAGCTCTACAGGGAGAGATAAATTAAGCTGTAGCACAAGCATTAAAGTCACCATGAGAATAATTTCGTTGAGTCATTTTCTGTGTCATAATGTCCCCAGTGTATAAGAAAAAGTGCCTTGTACTCCACTGGAGGGATGGGAGGGGGTGTTCACTGTGATATATTGCAGACTGCAGACATTTGAGAATCTGCAGCAGGGATAAATGTCCCACACTGCCTTACAAGGTTTCATAGCACATCATGAAACCATTTTCTCCCACGTGATTAATGTGTAGGGATGTTCTCCTCCTGGTGAGATAAGACTCTAAGCGGAATTATATGAGTCAGTTCAAAGAACTTAAAGGTCAAACTTGGTGATCCTGACTGAGACACAGGCAACTTCAAACAAAAACACACAAACAGACCCTGAGGTAGCTGCTGGAGTCGGCGGAGGGCTCTTCAGCGAAACCACTGCTGTCTGACTGCTGACTGACTGTCCTCAACAGGTCTGAGAAAGACACAGACAATGAGACGACATGATTACTCCTGCAGTACCCCATCTGTCCAGCTGGCGGCACAGCAGAATCATTTATACTGAGCATTAAGAGACAGGACAGTCTGTCCTCACTGAGATCTAAGTGAACACAGGAAACATGTTTATTGCATACAGACACAGGCTGCAGATATAAACTGTCATTGATAAACTGGAGAGGAATGTAGAAATGTGTCAACAACGACTGCGAGACTACCAAGTTAACACAGCTGTAAGTTTCAAAATGTTAAACAGAAATATGTGTTGCAAATATTTAATGAAGAAGGAAATGCAGTCAACATATTTCTTAAACCTCAAAGAAAGTATTTTGGCATCACTGAATGTCAACACTGCATGTTCACAAGTTCACAGGGCACTTGAAAGGATGAAAGGTGAACTCACCGGTGGCTCTGGAAGTTCTGAGTGGAGGAGCCTCATCTTCGTTACTCTGAATCTGAAAGACCAAAAGCACACTGAATATTAAAAGACAGAAACACACTTGGTCAACACGCTGCTTCATCTAAAGCAGCAAACCTCGATCAGGCTCATGAAATAGGACTCACTGTAAAGGTCAATCCACGCCGGTTTTTGGTGCGTTCATTTTTTAAGTGTCTCAGGCCGCATTCACACCAAATCAGGCATTGCGGCGATAAGCTGTAAGGTTGTGAGGCGGTGTGGGAGTCACTAACCTGGCCTATTTATGGGGGAGTGGAGCGTGGAGAGAAAGCCAATCTCCCCATCTCACAGACTTTTTGTCTTCGGTAAGAGTTCATGATGGCTTCAAAGATCTGTAGAACTCTTTTTTGATTATCATCGTTGTCGTATCTTTACCGCCAGAAAAGATACACGTGTGCGCAAACAAACAAAGGAAGTGCTTTCCTTTGTAGGGTGGTGAACAGGAGGTATTAATTAGGGTCCGGGCAGCTAAGCTGCCAGGACACTATTGTAATCCTAGGTATTCTTCTTCTTTCTTCTTCCGAGGAAATCATACTTCCCATGGGTGAAAACTCATCAAACTTTGCACAAAGGTCCAGTCTCATGCCAGATATCCTCAGCTGTAAACTCAAGCCAATAGTCCTGATGGTGGCGCTACAGCAAGCGTCTGAAGTTCAAAACTTTGAAAATTCATAACAAATCAACCATACGTGCTACAACTTCACAACTTTTATCAAACTGTAGCCCCAATGCTGAAGAAACTTCTGTACATTTAAACCTATTAAAAATTATGAAGTTCATTACTCAAAAACTGTAAAACTTCTTAAACTTATCTCCTCCCACAATTTTTGCTCAATTGACACCAAACTTGCTACAGAGCATCTTCAGACTGTCCTACAAAAACTACGTTTCTCAGATTTTTGATTTATCAAAAATTGAGCCTACAGAGCATCAAAATGTTTGACTGTTAACGGTACTGTAAACATATACATGCAAATTCTCTCTAAATAAATCTTCAATGTTCATGAAAAAAAGACAAAATTCTAGAGTCATGGTAGATGATGTGTGGCAAATTTCAGAATTTTATCTCAAAAACTGAATTTTTGACAGCATTTTGAATTTTGCTCTAATGTCAACAATTGGAGTCAATGTAAAAATGGCAATTTTAAACATCAGTTTTTCACTTATGGAGCAAATCAATCATTGTCACAAATAAATTACCAACATCTCCATACTGTCTAGATGCAATATGTGTATTTTCAGATTTTTGTTTTGATAACTGAATTTTTTACAGTGGTTTGAAATCTGCTTTTCCATGCATGGACGGCTGCTAAACCTGCATGTCTGGCTTGGTCAATTTGTGAAGCTACACATGAATTGTCACTGACTAATTACCTCAGTGAGATAGAAACTTGATTCTTAGTCTCAGAGGTTGTGAGTTCAAGCCTCAGCTGATGCAAAAGGTAGATTGTGTTGCTAAATTCCTAAATGTCTTCCAATTCTTCTGCTTGTTGCTCAGAATTGCCTAAAAATGCCCGGACCCGACCCATCGCTGCACAGCAGCTATAATAAATACTTTATTTCTTTTACTCACTGTAATATTTAACAATAGAAAGAAAGTATTTCTGGCATCTTTCTAGTCTGTTCACCTGTTACATGATTGGCCACCACAGCGTGACGTCAGGTTGCGTTCCAACTAGGGGTGGGGGAAATTTCCGAATCTTAGATGCATCGCAATTCGGACGTGGACGAATCTGAATCGATTCACAAACGTCCAAATTTCGATTATTTAAATCTGTTAATTAGAGTAATACAGAAGGTTCTAAATAATGCGAACTAAGAAGCGCGGTACGTGTCATCTCCGGGACACTTTGGGATGTGCACCTGGAGCAGACACACCGACACGCGCACAGAGGAAAACAAACATGGCTGACCGCTACCCACCTCGCCGTGAGATCCGAACAGCTCCTTCTAATTTAACAGCTCCTTCTACAACGTTGACGGCGGAAGCGAACTGGACAAGAGCCACGTTATATGTAAGCTGTGTCGTGCTAAAATAAAATACTTTGGCAACACAACAAACATGAGAAGCCATGTAACTCGATTCCACCTGACAGAGGAGTCAGGGACACGACAGGCTGTTGTTGCTGCGGCAACTAGTGGCGCTACCGACCAAAGAACAATCGAGGAAGCAATTAGAAAGCTGCCACCCTCATCGGAAAAGGCGAAGCGAATTACGAAGGCCATCGCAGCATTTATTGCCAAGGATTTGCGTCCTTCTTCCGTCGTGGAAAATCAAGGATTTCGAGGACTGCTGCATACACTGGAGCCCACATACACCATCCCATCCCGACGCTATTTCACCGACACTCTACTATCAAACCAAAACAGAAGTCATGGCCTCACTGTTGAAGGCAGGTAGGATCGCAGTTACATGTAATGCGTGGACGTCTGTCGCCACCGAATCATTTGTTACTCTATCTGCGCATTTTATCTTGTGATTTAAGATACCTGTTGTTACCTTTGGTTCCATACAACGAAGTTGTAACTTTCCAGTTTGCACGCATTTCCATTTATATGTTTAATAAAATATAATGGAAATGAATTCAACTGTTTCTTATTACAAATGCACTGTTTTTAAAAATTGCAAGTGTTGAATGCTTATTCAGTGAGACAAAAAGAAATGTGTGTTGTGAAAAAGTGCATCAATATACATAGATTAAAGATGCATCAATAATCGTTTTATAATCGAATCGTAGCCCCTGAATCGTAATCGTTATCGAATCGTGAGGTGCCCAAAGATTCCCACCCCTAGTTCCAACATTGCGAGTTTGAGCCCTTTTTATTTTTTTTGTGTCTGGTATGACTAATAAAATGTAAGCTCCAGGGAAGCTGCTCAGATCCAACAGATCTCTTTCTGTCTGTATGGACTGTATGAACTAATTATACCCATAATGATAAATCAAGGCCATTAATTTCACTGTGAGCTTTCTGGTTTCAATATAGGCACATGTGGAACTGAGCTGAGTGACTCAATGAATAAAAACAATGATATCTTCCTGTATAATCCACATGGAGTCTCCTGTAAAACTATTTTTGTTCTTTTTATATCACACACCCATTTACATTTTGTTAAGGCTTTAAGTTACGCATATTGAGGAATTTGAGTGACATGCTGTATGAAAGCCGTCGCTACAAGCCCCCTCCCGCTCCCTGCACTCTCCCTTTGCTGGTCTCCTGACCATTCCCACCTCACGCCTCAGCATCATGTGTGCCAAGGCTTTCAGCTGCACTCCCTACAAGCTCTGGAACTCCCTACCTCCACACATTCGACAGTCCGACAGCATAATGTCCTGCAAATCCCATCTCAAAACCCATCACAGCAACACTATGTGTTTGCCCAGTTCATGTATCTTGCTCTGTATGTAATTTTATGCTGTGTAAGGTGATCTTGGGTGTTTTGAAAGAAGCCTTTTTAAATACAATGTATTATTTTCGTTACTGATATAAATCAGATCCACCCCTCACTCTTCCACAGCTCCACCCTCACATTCGAATATGGTGAGTGTGAGTCCACAAACCAGTGGATGACGTCATGGTGGCTACATCCATTATTTTATACAGTCTATGTGTAGCACCAACATTAGCCTGGTTTTCAGAGCTTAGCTAACGTAAGGTTGCTATATATGCTTTATTTTCATTTTAATAGCTAGCTAGGTTACTTTACAGGCAAACTTCACTATTAAAATCACCAAAAACACTATGTACCAAAACAAACTGTAAATGCTACCAAAAATATGTACAAAGCTAACTCTGGAAACTATCTTAAATAACTTTAGGACGAAAAAGCACTTTTATCACTAACATCGGAGGCAAGGGTAACGTTACTGTAGAGTTGACAAGAAGTAAAAAGCTGTGATGTTTGTGAAACATATATCTGTCACACTACATTGTGCGGGTGGAGAACACAAGTATGAAGAACCTAAGAGAACCCAGGAGAGAACCCAGGGGAACGTCGTACCTCCTCCATGTCGAAAGAGTCTGTGTTTTCTGTGCGAAGCTGGGCCAGCTGGAGCGGGGGCAGGGAGGGAGGAGCTTTCTCTGGGGTTGAAGTCAGGTTCTTCTCCTCCTCCTTGACCACCTGGGTTCCCTCTTCAGATTTCTGATTGGATGACTGAGAGTCAGCTGACTCTGGTTGATGCTCTCCATTGGCTGCTGGTTCGGTGCTGCTGCTCTGTTCAGGACTGATGGGAGGTGAGATCAGTAACGATGCTAAAATACTTTCACATTGTGCTACTAATATTTCTGTACTTTTACTCAAGTAGGATTTTAATGTGTGTGTAACTAGAGTACCTGATGTACTGGTATTTTTACGTAAGGTGTCTGAGTACTTCCATCTCCACTGCAAACTGGTTTTAATATTAGCCAGCTTACATTAGCTAATGGTCTGTCCTACCTTTCTTCTCCATCCCCATTGGTTTCCTCTTTAACTGTCGCCAAGGGACAGCTGTCTTTCTTGCGCATGTGTTTCTGGGTGCTGGTCTCCACCTGGTGGTCGGGTTCGGTGCTGCTGCCGTTCTGTTCCAGCCCGGTGGTGGTGTGTGCGTGATCGTTGGTGTGTGTGTGATCAGAAGTGGCGTGTCCGTTTGATGGTGTTTTCTGGTTAGGTGTGTTCGCTTCAGGCAACTCGGAGGAGACTGCAAGCAGGTTGTGTTTGGTGATGGTTTTCTTGAGGAGTTTGGCGACGTTTCGAGCCGAGCCGCTCCTCTTTAGAGAAGGAGATGACTTCTCCTCACCTGCTTCACCCACTTCTCCTCCTGAGAGATAAAACAATCAGAGTAAAAACCACTATCAACCAAACGTAGTGCTTGTTCTGTTAACATAGTCTGAGACAAAATATATTCGTCAACTAATGTTTTGTCCATGGTGAAGATAAGATGTTATTGAGATGAAAAAAAAAATGATGGAATTAAACTATCACAAAATTTCTATCATTGACAAAAACTCAATCTCAAAGTAGGTTGTTTACGTTTCACTGAAGTGCTCAAACTTGGTCTAGACAAAAAAGTCCAGTGTCCTCTAAAAGTCTAGAACAGTAGTTCCCAAATGGTGGGTTGCGGGTCCAAAGGTGGGTTGCAGGTCCATTCTGAAAGGACCGCAAGTGACTCATGAACATGTCAAGTTTGTAAAAAAATCACACTTTCTTTTTAAGTATGGTGAATTTCTGGCACAGAGCTTTTAATTTTGAAGTGCCCTTTCCCGCTGTGCAAGTGTACTCTTCTTACAACGTTTTGTTTACTTCCTGGATTTTTCCCACATGGAAAGTCTGACCAATCAAGAGCAGCTTTCTCACACAAGGCATTTGATCTGGTCTGCTTATAAATGCTGCCGTGAGAACACGAACCAACTCTAGGCAAATATACAACTTTGTAACAAAAATAGTCCCTGATTCAGACCAAAGCAAGACAACTCTAGGTCTGAAAGCAATAACTGTCTTTTGGTGGACATGGCTTGGTTGCCATGGTTACCTTGGTCCCTGGAGCTGATGCGTTGGACAGGTTGACCAGAAACTTGACTGTAGAGCTGGAAGAACTCGTTAGCTACTGAGGTCAAGACCTCAATCTGACGGAAACGACCTGAAAGAGACAGAAACAAAAAAAAAACAAAGTTACAAAGTGTTTCACAGAGTCAAAATAAAGACAAAATATGTACACTAGTTAAATGCTACTAAAAAACAAAAGATGCTTTTTAAAAACATTGCACTGATTTGGATTCTCTAAAATTTTGAAGAAGGCTTTTCCTAACCTGCTCCTTTATGTGTCCTGGCGTACTGGTGAACTGTAACAGGCAGTGAGTAGATCAGGAGGCAGTTTAGTTTAGAGTCTGAAACATGTCAGTATCCAGCAGCGCTCTTCCTCCTCTGACCCAGTTCAAATATCTCTGCTAGTAGGATGTTTCCTGGTGTCTCTCAGCTTGTTTTTAAAGCACTCCCTCCCACAAAAATTAGTGTTCTTCAAGCCACAATAAACTCCACCAGTGAGGTTCCAGTGCAGTGTCTCAGGAAACATCAATCCCCCATTTACTGTGTAGCGCTCTATCATTTTATTGTCCAAAGTTTCACTATAAATGTTATTTTTATTAGTAAGGGATTAGTCAGTGAGTGAACATGAGTGATCTCAGCCAGAGTCAGGTAGAGCGCTGCGCTAAAATTTTGAAAATTACATGTTATTCTTAAAAAATATAAAAGATATCAGCCATGCCACTGGCTGATTCTTACACCCATTTAACAAAAATAAAAGTTTGGAATTCAGTAACTATCTGCAGCAGAAGAATAATTCATGAAGTAATTTCATGGTATAACTGGACACAGACGTCAAAGCCTCCCCTCCCTCCTTCTTCTTCTGTGGTTGTGTAAGTGGAGCTGTCAGTCTCATCTCTAACAGGATGATGACTTGCATACTTTCCTTCCTTCCGTACTCGTCCCTCCATCCCTCCATCCCTCTATCCCTCACTGTCTAAATAGTTGTCAGTCTGTTATGAAACACAGACCTCTGCCTTTTGTCCGCCACTCTGCAAACACCACATAACTCGCTCTGATGTCATCACCTGAAATACAGCAGGGGCCTGCTAGCTCTTAGCCTCTCACCTTTGATCCCAGTCTGACCTCTAACTCCTAAAATAACTGACTCACTGTGGCTGACACATTTCATTAGTGGCATTCAGTTACATCACTCTTCTCCCAACTCTAATTCTGGTGACTCTCATTCTAATTTAATATTAGATGAAGGACTGAAACTTCTTGTCTGGGTAGAAGACAGCTACCGTAATAACTGTTTTAGTGGGCTTTACTTAGCATTACAGTGAACTTTCGTAAACACAGATGGACGCCATCACAAATGAAAAGTCTATGGTTGACCCAAACACTTTGAAGCTTAGATCGTTGCCATGATAATAAACGTCCAAATCAGTATTTTATT